AACTTTCGTTTACGTTCCCGAAGTTCGATTTGAAACTCTTTTCCCGATTACAGCGCAAAATAATCAGGCCCAGATAGTAACTTCATGCAAAAAAAAACTAGAGTTAAAATAACTGTGGCAGATAAGATGTGTCATTGAAATAGGGACAGCTAATGTCGATACTACCGAAGCTAAATTTATTCGCTGTTTAAACTTAGGCGCTACAGCGAGGAATATTAGCTGCTAGAAATAAATGACTGTAATAAATGATTGTAGCTGTGCGGCAAACTTCTTTAATATATGCATACGATAAGAAATTTAGGAATAACTGCCATTTTCTTAGCTACTTGAAATAATGTGCATTTTTAATGTCACCTAATATATTTGTATTTCATAGCGAAATACAAGCATTTTAGCTGTCATAGCCAATTCTTAGCAGTGACAGCTAAACTATTAGTCTTTTGACTAAGTTTGAATCAGCTACCGCGGTTTAGCTGATATTACTAAGTCATTTTTTTGCGTGCAGAGCACGGCTAGAAGGTTAAGAGAATATTATATCCAAAATAATCTTCTCTTATATTTTATATGAACTCAAAAACCTAATTAAACAAAGAAAATATTTAAGTTCTCAACATAAAAGATATAAAATAATTTTGTATATTGGGATTCCTCAAGATCCCATGCGTCGACTCGTGTTCGAAAAGTAGCGCGACGACTGTAGGATTAATCTCCCAATATATGTACACACACACACACAGCAAATTCACACTGAAAAAAGGATTTTATTGTGGAAACGAAAGTTTAATATAAAACGCGGGACAAAATTTGGCTAAAATGGAATCAATCAAATTCAATCAGGTAACTGCACAAAATTTAATTACGACTTGTGTGTTTCGTTCTCTCACTAATACATCCTACTTGACACAAGGTAATGCCAAACAAATCGTATGTAAGTCGTAAATATCTCAGTTCCGAATACAAAATCAATTTCTTCAATGCGAATGTATTGTTTCTACACTGTTAAATATTGGAGGGTCAAATTTAAACCAATTTCTTGAGTTAAATAATATTTAGTTATTTTTAACTATCATGTGTGTCAAAATATACTATTTTAATACAAAACATGTGTGTCAAAATATACTATTTTAACACAAAATATGTGTTTAAAAAAACAACCACATCTAATCAACCCATTTAAAACAATATTAAGTCATTTTTTACTAAAACAAAGGTTACATTAACGTGCACATAATAAAAAATAAACTAAATTTTAGTCAAATTTAATACATTTCTTAAGTTAAATTATTTAATTCCACTACATTAGTTAAATTTACGACATATTTAGTAGGAGCAGTGGCGACTTATAGGAATGGTTAAAAATAACTCAAATTGAGTATAATTTGACACTACGGATTTAACAGTGTAAGCGTGTAACTTGGCTGAGGTTCTTTTTGCGCATTTCTCGCGGCTTTAAGGGTATGCTGGAGTCGATGACGAACTCAAACAATGTCGATAATGCAGAGACGATCGTCACTAACTAATCACGCTATCCTTTTCGTATTTCTTGTATATACAAAACTTATATGAATGTGTGTTGCCTTGTTTTATCATATTCAACGGAAAACCTAACTATATATGTGTAGAAATCTTTCTGCAAACTTTTTCGATATTCTTAAGCTTCCAAATGCAGATGCAAAAGTAGAGCAATATTCTTCAAAATTTTTTTGTTTGGAGCATCCACACTTTCGGTATGTACAAGCTGCGAAACTTTTGGATTAGGCAAATATTACATTAAATGACAGCTTGAGATTTCACATTAAAAATTTTTTGTTCGTTTTCGTCACATATCGAGCAATGTTTCTATTTATTTTTGCACGTACTTTTATTGCGTAAAAGCATTTATAATTCTATATAATTCTATATAATTCTATATTTATAATTCTATATAACCAATACGATGTATACTTTGCAGAAAAATGTCAGTGTTCTGTCAGTAAAGTTTTCAGCTTCAACATCCCTTTAAGTCGCGTCACTTAACGCGTTTAAGGCGTGTAAATTGTAGTGGAATACGTTTACGCGTGTTCAATGGCGTGATTTGAAGCCGCAAGAAACGTGCAATAGAAGATTCGGCCAAAAGAATACATTTGGATTTTCAGTGAACACACGCGGTTCACTTCCAGCTTTCCCACGTTTTCTTCCGCTACGAGAATCCGCGGGAATCCGACTCGTCGTCGTATATCATGAGAGCGCAAACCGATCGCACGGGATAAGCGGACGTTGGTTGTGTCGCTTAAAATTACGGGCGCGACGTTGTAATAGACGTGCAAAACACGTGTAGATGCGCGGGTTAGATGAGGCTTGTCGAAACCGGACGGGAACGGGAACACACGGCAGTGAATAATGATCGCGCTCGTCCTTGCAAGGCTAATGCCCGCCGTATACGACCGCTTTCATCCTCGATTATCTATTAATGTCGCCGGAAAATTATCTTACGACACCGGCGCGTGCAACATACACGCGAATGCGGCAATAAGATGCTCTCACGTGTCTCGTTTTAATCGACGCGCAGGCGCAAGCGATGAAATATGCGCGTGCTAGATAACGTGACTTTCAATTTCGCGGGGAACGGATGTCGCATCGTGCTCGATCGAGCCGAGCCTTCGATCGTCCATTCTCTTCCGCCAAACTGATCTTAAGATCTAGAAGCAGCTCGCGACGTTACACTGAAGAAAAAATACTCGAAAATTTCCTTAAAAACAGGATATGAATTTATTTCTGAAATGAAATTCATTTCTGCAGACAAACTTAATATTCTACGAGTGAATTCTCAGGTATTTCCTTCTCCGTATCAATAGTCATTGTTTGAAATTCGTCTCAAGTGAGATACTCAGATTTTAATTCAAAGTTAAATGAGATTTTTTCAATTGAATCGCGACTATACAGATATAAGTGTCACATTTATCGTAATTCAACTGAAAAACTTGGGTCTCAATGGATAATCGGAAGTGCTAACAAATTTTATCGGAAAAGTTAATTGGAAAAACAAAGTTACGATTCCTCACCAGATGATGACAAGAACTGCGAATACCGGTCTCGTTTTTTTTTTTTTTTATTACAAAGAGATTTCCATATAAGTATGTAGTTTGACGACAAGAGAAGGATCTCTCGCAGCCTGATTCATCCAAGTCGACCTCATCACACCACCATAAGCGTCATCGTCGTTACTTCCCGGCGAAAGCGAGCTCGGCAACGAGGTTCTATGTACAGTAAAGACCGCGCCATAAAAATCCTCGTCACTCGTCACCTACGAGAGACCGAAGGAGAGAAGGAGAGGAGAACGCTCGTGTCCGCGTTGCAACAAAGTCGCGCGGTTCACTTTTGCTCTCGGCGGTGCCCAAAAGCAGCGACCAAAACGACCGATCCATCGTTCATTCGCGGAGTGAAACATACACAGAGAAAGAGAAATTTATAGTAAAAATTACTATAGAATTTTGTAATTGAGGAATAGTCGACATCCAACAATTCCTTGTCATTTAATCTGTTATTTATATTTTAGCACCTGAAATACGTCATTAACTTTGCCAAATTTATTGTTTCTTAGCAAAATAGATCGTAATGACTCTATTCTGCTGAATCTATTTCTGCACTTGGTTAGATGGCGTGCGAGTGGGTGGACGGATCAAGGTGCGTGAATTTGGAATGATCAAGATGTGGTCACCGACGAGATATTACTAAAGACTGTCAGCCTAAATTTTCGACTCGGCCAAAGGGCCCGGAGGAGCCAGGAGATAATTGAAGAACAATATCGTTTTTCACACAAAGACGTTTCTGTCTGTCCGTGTGACTACCCTTATGAAAAAATACGAAAAGACCCTCAATTTTGGATGTTAACACTCAAATTTAGGTGTTTATCTCCAGTTTATTGGGTGTTTACACCCAAAATTGAGGGTTTTTTCGTAAGAGTATACCATCGACATATAATACTGGACGGAGCATTGTGCCGAAATCGTATTGACAGACGTAGAAAAAAAAAATCGTATTGACATACGTAGAAAGAGACAAGACGATGTAAGTAGGATAACAGTAAAAATATACACTGAGAGAAGAATTTAGTAAATATTATCAAAATTTGGTTACTATTACTAAATGGTAGACGTAAATATAGCGGGCCAAAGCTATGGCAATACTTATTAATTAATTTAGTTCTGTAAAATAAATTATTTATTTGACAGAAGTAAAATTTATTTGCTTCCAGAATATATTTGGTAAATAAAACTTATTGAATAGTTGAGCAAAATAAGCGATTTTGTAGTAGTTACAAAATTTTTGGTAGGTTCAACCAACCATCTGTAATAATAGATATTGAAACGATGTAATAGCTGCGAATGAATGAATTTTTCGTTGTGCTGTAACAAAACATACTTATACTGGTAACAAAATAGAACTCGTACCTACTGAATTTTTTATTACATAGGATATAACAATTTCATAACAATTATCAAATATCTGCTCATATCTGTAATATATTTCATATTAAATATTTAACAT